TACTACTACTACTACTACTACTACTACTACTACTACTACTACTACTTCTGTTACTACTACTACTACTACTACTACTACTACTACTACTACTGCTGCTACTACTACTACTACCACTATCACTACTATCACTACTATCACCACTAATACTACTACTGCTTCGACTACTACTACCACCACTACTACTACTACTACTACTACTACTACTACTACTACTACTACTACCATTTCTATCACTACCACGCATGATAATAATAATCCTGCTCCTGCTCCTACTCCTACTCGTTCTTCTGCTCCTGCTCCTAGTTCTACCTCTACTCTTACTTCTTCAGCGGACGCTGCCCACCGCCCCTCCCGAGGAGTACACGCGGGGTCAGCAGTCGCTCCTGGAGCGGGAGCATTCGCTGGGCAGCTCGCTCAGGAACTCGGGGAACGGAAAAGTGCAGAAACCGAAACCCAGGGGGTTCTAGCGCCGATCCTAGAAAGGCGCCCAGACATCCGAAAGATGATCGAAGACGCCTTCGGCGAGTCACCGCCACCCCCTGCCTTTTTGGAAGCGCCGATGTGGCCGAAAGTTGGGCCAGAGCTATCACCATGTGTTCCCCCAGCTGTTGTTGAAACCTTTCGGTAAACACGTGAGCAAGAGGAGAATGAGGAGAAGAAGGAAAAGGGAGTAGGAGGAGGAGGAGGAGAAGGAGGAGGAGCAGGACGATGATGATGATGAGGAGGAGGAGGAGGAGGAGAAGGAGAAGGAAGAGCAGGAGGAGGAGACGAAGGAGGAGGACGCCTCTTGGAAGCCTCTTGGGGCACTCTTGGGGTCTCCGGGGAACTTCCGGGGGGCCTCTTGGAGGCCTGTTGTGGGCTTCCTCAGGCATTTTGTGAGCCTTTGGGGGCTTGTTCGGAACCTCTTTGGCCGTCTTCGGGCGTTCCTGGCCTGTCTGACGCCATCGGAAGCTGTCTTGGATGCCTCTCTGAACCGACTTGGGGCCCTCTTGTGGCGCTTCAGGGCCGTTTTTGAGGCCATCTCAGGCGTCTTGGAGGCCTCTTGGGCCGTCTTGGGGCCCTCATGGGGCCGTATTGGCGGCCTCTTGGGCCGTCCTGGGGCCGTCTTGGAGGCCTTTGGGGCGACCTTCGGACTATTTTGGAGGCCTCTTGGGCCCTCTTGGGCCGTCGGAAGGCTGAAAAGAAGCAAGTACCAAAATCTTTCAAAAGCCAAAAGAAAATCAATGATGTTGGCCTCTGCGGGCCATCCTGGAGAACCTCGTGGAGGCCTCTTGGGCCGTCTTGGAGGCCTCTTGGGGGCCTCTGAGGCCGTCTTGGGCCGTCTTGGAGGCTTCTCGGGCGGACTTGGAGGCATCTCGGACACTCTTGGGCCGTCTAGGAGGCCATCTTGGACCATCTTGGGCAAACTTGAGGGCCATCTTGGCCGTCTTCGAGGCCATCTTGGAGCCATCTGGAGCAGGAAAAAACTTTGTGACCGGGTGTTCCCTGTGGCTGGCGGCATCGGCCGAAGCCCCAGGGGGGAGTTCTCTTGGAAAAGAACCAAAACCAAGCCGTAAGACGTTCAGCACGCCAGGCACCCCTCTGATAAATCAACAGAGGGCGGCGGATGACGGAAAGCGCGCGTAGCGTCGCGATCCGGGGGTGGGGGGGTAGGCAGCCGGGGTGTCAGATGACGGAAAGCGCGCGTAGCGTCGCGATCCGTTAGTCGGGAGAAATAACAAAGGGGGGGGGAGGCAAAACGGGCGCGGATCTAACAGCCTAAGTTTCGGCAAATTTCGGCCCAAGTCAGCCCCAAGAGCGCCTAAGAGGGCCCAAGACGGCCCAAGACAGCCCTAAAAGCGCACAAGATACCTCCAAGACGGCGTCGGAGAGGTCCAAGAGGGCCCGAAGACGGCCCAAGAGCGCTCCAAGAGGGCCCAATATGGCTTCAAGACAGCCCAAGAGACCCCGAAGACGCCCCAAGAGGCCCCCAAAGGGAACCCACAAGAGGCAAAAATCGTACCATTCACCAGGGAAGACGTACATATTTAGCAGATCCGTTTCTTGGTTTTCCCAGCGGCCAACACGGCCCAGGAGGCCCCCAAGACCACCAAAAGACGGCCCCAGGAGGCCCCCAAGGCGGCCCAAGTGGCCGTCAAGACGGCCCACGAGAGCCCCAAGACGTCCCCAAGAGAGGCCTCTGTGGGCCCCTCCCTAGCCATTTTGGCTCAAGGTCGAACGGACCCAAGCTCCGACGCAAGCTTGCACCCAGAGGCTCCCGCCCTGAGGTCTTGAGCGCCGGTATACGCATGACACGGGCGCAGTTGGTCCACGAGTGGGCCTCAAAAGTCTCGAGCCCTGAGGAGCTCACTCTGTGTATCCAAAACATACCAAGGCACTGCACGCGGGCCATGCTAATGCTCGGGATACAGAACGTCGGATTCGGTAACGAGTACGACTACCTCTACTTGCCATGCGACTACACTTCAAAAGAAAGCCATGGGATCGCATTCATCAACATTGCATCCAGGGGAGCAGCTCGGAGATTCGTCGAATCTTTGGGCGACCTGGACTTGGCGATCCGCGGCGTGTCAGGCAGCCCCTTATTGCGAGTAGTATCTGCAAAGACGCAAGGTTTGGCGAACAACTTGCTGAAGTGGTGCCGCCGGCACTCCACTCGCACCGTGGACCCCGAGATGCAGCCGTTCGTGCGGGCGTTGAAGGAGATGGGGTTAGGCCACCCTTCCGACCCACTGCTCCTGCAGAGCCCCCCGAGCGGCGCGGTGCCCCACCCCGAGTTCGGGCCCGGCGGACGGCGGACGGCCCCGAGCCACATCAGCCGACCGACCGCCGCTCGCGAGGCCACGGCGGAGGCAGCGGCCGCCGCCGCACTGCTGGGCACCACGACGGCCTGCGCGGTGCTCGCTGCCCCCGAGCTCGAGCCCAGCCTCTGGATGGCGCCCCTGGCCACGGCGCGCGGCGCCAGCCAGGCCGCGGCGGCCACCGCCGGCCGGGCCGCCGGTGCCCTGAGGGCGCTGCCCGGCGTCCGCGCCTCGGGCCCGGCGGCGCCCGCCTCGATCACGGGGTGCTGCGCGTGGGAGCGCCCGACGCGTGGGGCCCCGGCAGCGGCTCGGTCGGTGCTGGGGCGCTGCTGCGTGTGATTCCCGAGGTCGGGCTCGGATTCGTGGCGCTGCCCGCCTTGAGCGAAGCGACGGCGCCCAGGGATGTCCTGGATTGGCTTTGCTTTTTGGGTGACTGCTTTGTGCGAGCGCACGGAGTGTCCCCACCGCCGACCCAGAATGACGACGAAGACGACCACGACGACAACGACAGTCAGACTCATTCATACCCCGACGCGCTCGTACTTAAGAATTACTCACATTCAGACTCGCCCGCACCCAGGCTCACTCACACCTGGGCTAACTCACAGTCGGACGTATTGTCATTCAGGGCGCCGACGCTTCCATGTGTGGCGGCCTGGCGCGGGATCGGCGCCCAGGGATGTCCTGAATTAGCTTTGCTTTTTGGGTGACTGCTTTGTGCGAACGCACGGATTGTCCCCACCGCCGACCCAGAATGACGACGAAGACGACCACGACGACAACGACAATCATATTCATTCATACCCAGACGCGCTCGTACTTAGACTTACTCACATTCAGACTCGCCCGCACCCAGGCTCACTCACACCTGGGCTAACTCACAGTCGGACGTATTGTTATTCAGGGCGCCGACGCTTCCTTGTGTGGCGGCGCGGGATCTAGCAGTTTCTTGGAGGAACGGGCGCATGCTCGCGCGCGCGAGGAAAGGGGCCTGCAGTGCCACGCCAGCCCGCTCGGGTAGACGCCCTCGTCGGGTTGGTCGTGCTAAATTTCTGTTGGCTGCGGGAGGAGTCTTGGGAGGAGGCTGGGCCTCACTGTACGCACGGAGTTTAACGAGCAATTCCTACTCCCAGGTTGCCAGGCTGGCTCTGAGGTTGAACAATCATGTGTATAATCTGCGTCGAGAGGCGCGGGCGGCCATCTCTAGCTTTGCGCTGGTGTCCAGATGGATCGCGTAGTTTCGGCCGTGCGACAGATGTTCTCGTTGAGTATGCAGCAATGCGCGAGGGGCACGATCATTAGCTGCGCGTTTCCATTGAAGGCGTTCCTCGTTCTGCATGAGGCACGCCGTTCCCGCACGCGGGAAGAGATTTTCGGGCTTTCGCCGTTCGGCTGTGTCAGCGGAATCGCCACGTTCAGAAGCGAGGCGCTGTGGCGCCACATGAGCGGAACTTTTTTGCTTGTTCCCACCCATTTTGCGGTGTTGGGTCTTCGTTTTGAAGATACAGCGCCCCGCGTTTCTTCCTCTCCTCTCCTTTCCTCTCCCTTCCACGGTCTCACCTGCCTCGCGATACTCGCAGCTGCATATGGTTGGGCCTTTCCGTCAGACTATTTTGCTGCTTTACATTTTTGGCGGTCGCCGTGACTTGTTCAGTACAAAATGCAGCGCCCACTTGCCATGAAGGGTTGCTTCCAGGGTTCATTGTGCTGGCCCTTCAGAGCACGGTCAACGGCACACATCCGCACGACTTCCACACGCTGGCCTACCACCAGGAGTTCGGGAGCACTCTTTGCACTGCCTGTGGCTGTTGCCACGCAGGCGGTCCGACTGTTGTCCAAGGAGTGCGCGCGCCAGCTCAAGAGACATGGCAAGCAGCAGTTGGCGAAAGTGCAGCAGGGTCTGCCACTGGGCACATCAAGGCCTGCCAAGTCACAGAGGGCTCAGCACAGCACGATCCGGCTGCATGGGAACTGCGAGCTGGAAGCTCACTACTGGGAGGCCGCAGGCTGGATGCCGCTCCCTCTCGGTCCTAGTCTCCTCATCCTTTTTCCGATGCATGGTTCGCACGCGCCCTGCTCGTCTAAATGTCGTGCAGGGCGTGGCACCATCGCGGGAGTATGACGCAAGCCTGTCGCCCTGCGCGGGTCAGGGTAGTTTTCACGGCTCGCAAGAATGACTTTGCGTGATTTTGGCTCGAAAAAGAAAGAGGCCTCTGTGGGCCCCAGTAAGTTCCCAAGAGAGACCCTAGAGGGCCACAGGAGGCCCCCAAGTGGACCAAGGAGGGCTCCCAGAGGGCCCCAAGACGGCTCAAGCCAGCCAAGACGGTCCAAAAGAGCCCCACAAGGACCCCCAGGACGCCCCCGATATACAATATTAATTGATTTTCGCAAGGGTGGCTGCTAGATTTTTGTATGTCGTGCCGAAGCCTTAACACCAACAGGGATCCAAGACACTACGTAAGCAAGCGACCTCGTGCCCTCACAACATGAACGCGCATTCCGTCCCCATACCAAGCAGGTCGAATTGCTTCAGGTTTCGGCAGTTTTCAGCCCAAGACGGCCCAAGTCAGCCCCAAGAGCACCTAAGAGGCCCCAAGACGGCCCAAGACAGCCCCAAAAGCGCCCAAGATACCGCCAAGACGGCGTCGGAGAGGTCCAAGAGGGCCCAAGAGCGCTCCAAGAGGGCCCAATATGGCTTCAAGACAGCCCAAGAGACCCCGAAGACGCCCCAAGAGGCCCCCAAAGGGAACCCCCAAGAGGCAAAAATCGTCCCATTCCCCAGGGAAAACGTACATGTTTAGCAGATTCGTTTCTTGGTTCTCCCAGCGTGGCCCCGAAGACGGACCAAGTGGCCGTCAAGACGGCCCACGAGAGCCCCAAGACAGTCCAAGAAAGGCCCCTGAGGGCCCCAAAAGGTTCTCAAGAGTGAGCCCCAAGAGGGCCACAGGAGGTCCCCAAGGGGACCCAGGAGGGCCCCCAGAGGTCCCCAAGACGGCCCAAGCCAGCCAAGACAGCCCAAGACCGCCCAAAGGGGCCCCAAGATTGCCCAAACGTGCCCCAAAAGGACCCCCAGGAAAGGCCCGGAAATGCAATGTTTATTTACCTTAGCAAGGTTGGTTGCTAGATTTTTGCATGTCGCACCGAAGCCTGAACACCAACAGGGCTCCAAGACACTAAGCCAGCGACCTCGCGCCCTCACAACATGAACGCGCTTTCCGTCCCCACGCCAAGCAGGCAACGGAAAGAGCGAGGTACGAGTGATGAACGTTCTGGTGGGGCGAAGCCCTCTAGGGAGGAGTGCAGAGGAGGGGCGAGGCGGGCCCGGATCGGATGTAATGGCCAGCGGGGTGCCGTTTCCCTCGTACTGCTTCAAGGGAAGCGGCTCGCGGGCGCCCTCCATGGCCCGCTTCCACTCATTTGCTCGACAGAAGCGGCTCCGTCAAGGGCCCCCAGGCGGCTCAAGAGGGCCACAGAACAGCCCAGAGACTGCCCCGAGAGAGCTGCAGATGGCTTCCAGACGGGCCATGAAAGCTCCGATAGGGCTCCAGGGGCCCTTAAGAGGGCCCTCGAGAGGGCCTCAGGAGGCCAAAAACATTGCTGTCCCTTGGGTTTTGGCAGGTTTTCCGGTTCTCGCCTTCTCGGGCCAAGAAGCGCCCAACGCGGCCCACGAGGCCCCAAAGCTCGTCCCAAGACAGCCCCAGAGGCCCCCCAAAAGGGGCCGATAACGGTCCAAGAGAGCCCCCAGACAGCCCAAGAGGGTCCCAAAACAGCCCCGGAGGGCCCCAAGCGAGCTCCACGAGAGCCCCACGAGGGCCCCAAGAGGTTCCCAAGAGGCCTCCAAGGGGGCCCGGAGAGGCGGTGTGGGGACTGGGCTGCTTGGGTGTGGGGACTAGGCTGGCCCCAAGACGGCCCCAGAGCCCCAAAACTGCTTTCAAGAGGGTTCAGGAGGCCAAAAACATAGATTTCCCATTGGTTTTGGCAGGTTCTTCGGGTTCTTGATTTTTCGAACCCATGATGGCTCAACACCGCCCACGAGGCCCCAAAGCTCGTTCCAAGACAGCCCCAGAGGCCCCCCACAGGGGCCGACAACAGTCCAAGAGGGCCCCCAGACGGCCCAAGAGGGCCCCAAAACAGCCCGAGAGGGCCCCACGAGGGCCCCAAGAGGCCCCCAAGAGACTCCCAAGGGGGCCCGGAGAGGCCGTGTGGGGACTGGGCTGCTTGGGTGTGGGGATTGGGCTGGCCCCGAGACGGCCCCAGAGTCCCAAAACTGCTCCCAAGAGGGCTCAGGAGGCCAAAAACACATATTTTTCTACCCAGAATGGCCCAAGACGGCCCACGAGGCTCCAGAGCTTGGCCCAAGACAGCCCCAGAGGCCCCCCAAAGGGGCCGACAACGGTCCAAGAGGGCCCCCATGCGGCCCAAGAGGGTCCCAAAACAGCCCCCGAGGGCCCCAAGAGAGCTCCAAGAGGGCCCCGAGAGGCTCCCAAGAGATTCTCGAGGGGGCCCGAAGAGGCGGTGTGGGGACTGGGCTGCTTGCGCCGGCCTCAAGCGTCAAAAACATTGAATTCCTTAAGGTTTTTCAAGGTTGTGGGATTTCTGATGTTTGGGGCCCAGAAGGGCCCCAGACGGCCCAAGAGGTCCCAAAGATCGCCCCCAGATGGCCGCAGGGGCCCCAGAAAGCCACGAAAACGATCCAAGATGGCACTCTGGACGGCCCCAGAGGGACCCACAAGGGCCCCACGAGAGCCCCAAGACGGCCCCAAGAGGCTCCCAAGAGGGCCCGAAGAGGCGTTGTGGGGACCGGGCTGCGTGGGTGTGGAGACTGGGCTGGCCCCAAGCCGGCCCAAGAGTCCCAAAACAATCCCGCCACCAAAAGACTCCCAAGAAGCCCCAGAGACGCCAAGTAACACCATGGCTCCCCTCAGCGAGCGGTGACGTAACAAGCTCTGAACACCAAGGCTCCCCAGAGCGCGGTGACGTAATGAGTTTTGAACAGCAAGGCTTCCAAGAGCGAGCAGCAACGTAAAAGTCTCTGAACACCAGGGCTCCCAACGGAGAGCGGTAACCCAACAAGCTCTTAACACCAGGGCTCCCCAGAACGAAAGGTAGCCCTCTCAGGCAAGTTCCTGCAGCGTTTTTTTCTGTTCCCGTGCCGGCCCAGGTGACGGAAAGAGCGAGGCATGAGCGATGTGCGTTATTTGGCGGCGCGAAGCCCTTGAGGGAGGGGCCCAGGGGAGGGGCGAGGCGCTCGCAGTCAGCGGCTCCGGGGCGGCCCCCATGGCCTGACTCTTCGTATTTTTTCGAGTGACGCGGCTCAGGGGCTCCAAGACGGCCCAAGGGGGCCCCTCAACAGCCCAAGAGGGCACCAAGACGGCCCCAAGGGAGCTTCAAATGGCCCCCAGACGGCCCCAGAGAGCCTCGAGACGGATCCAGGGGCCTTCAAGAGGGCCCTCGAGAGGGCCCCCAGTGGCCAAAAAAACGTCGATGTGTTTATAGTTTTGGCAGGTTTGGGAGGTCCTTCCTTTTCGGGCCAAGACTGGTCGAAAACAGCCCAAGAAGCTCCAAAGATCGTCCCAAGACTGCCCAAGCGGCCCCCCCCCAAAGAGCCCGAAAACGGTCCGAGAGGGTCCCCAGAAGGCCCCACAGGGGCCCAAAAGGGCGCCAAGACGGCCCAAGAGGGCCCCAAGACGGCTCCAAGAGAGCCCCAAAGAGGCTCCCAAGAAAGCCCCGAGAGGCCCCCAAGAGAGCCCAAAGACGGCCAAAGGCCTCCAAGACGCCCCAAGACGGCCCAAAAGGGCCCCAAGACGGCGTAACATTGCCCCAAAAGGGCTTTCAAAGCGCCCCAACAGGGCCCCAAGAAGACCCCGACAAGGCCCAAGAGACGCTCCAGAACACCATGGCTCCCATCAGCGAGCGGTGACGCAACAAGCTCTTGACACCAAGGCTCCCCAGAGCGCGGCGACGTAAAAAGCTCGCCACGCCAAGGCTCCCAAGAGCGAGCGTAAAAGTCCCCGAACACCGGGGGGGGGGGGGGGTCCCCGACGACGGATCGGGGAAAGGGGGGGGTCCCACCCACCCCCCCTCTTAGGGACATCCAGCGGCGCGCCCTCCATGATCAGCATACACGGCTTTCCGGCTTTCACGGCGTTGAAGACAGTCCCAGAGGCCCCCAAAACCGCCCCAAGACGGCCCAAGAGGCTCCCAAGAGGCCCGCAAAACGGCCCAAGAGGGCCCCAAGACGGCCCAAGAGGCGCCCAAGACGGCCCAAGGGGGGCCCAAGACGGCCCCAAGAGGCGGACCACGAACCGAAAAGTTTAGCCTTTCGCCCCAAGAAGCCCCCAGGAGGCCCCAAGAGCCCCCCAAGAAGCCCCAAGAGGCCCCCAAAAAAGGGATCCAAAAGGGCCGCAATAGGACTCCCAAGAAGGCCCAGAGACGCCAAATAGAGAGCGATCGGGAACGCAACAAGCTCTTCACACCAAGGCTTCCAAGAGCGAACGGTGACGTAAACAAGCTGATAAGACCAAGGCTCCCGGCAGAGAGCGGTGACGTAACAAGTTCCTGACACCAAGGTCCAGCCAAGGCTCAGGAACGGGTGATGACGTTTTGATGCAGGGCGAAGTCCCTATGGGGGAGTGCAGAGGGGGAGGTAGGGGGAGGGAATGGGTGTTAATGGCCGCTCCGCCTCGTTATTTATCCACTAGGACGGCCTTTGGGGCTTAAATTATCCCGGCAAAGCAACCTAACAGCGATGTTTCTAAGTATAACTGAAACATGCAGCAGCAGTGAGAGGCACTGTGATATCAACAGTAACAGTAATAGTGATGCAAAAGCTGTTGTCATCGTCGCGCTGAGCTTGATTCGATGTGTTGTCAAACAAGGTACTGCCATGGACGCATGTCGCTTGAATGACTACATGTATAAACGAGACACTGTTATCAACGCACGGAACTGGAATAGATATATGTCCAAACGAAGAATTGTATGACTGTTGCGTCCGGCTATTCAAAATGTGGCCCGGGAATGGAGTTCTGGGAACTCGAAGAGCACGAAGTGTGTGACTGTTGCATCCGGCCCTCCAGAATGTGGCCCGGGAATGGAGTTCTGGGAACTCGAAGAGCACGAAGTGTGTGACTGTTGCATCCGGCCCTCCAGAATGTGGCCCGGGAATGGAGTTCTGGGAAATCGAAGAGCACGAAGTG